GGAGCCACATTGCCGGGTGTCCCCATTTTCTCTGCCCTTTGAGATTTTATGTCGATTATACTCATGAGCAGCAGAAAAGAGTACAGAAGCAAATAAACGTAGGAAGAACGGATATGGTACCAGCCCTACAAGTTCAAGATTCAAGAATAATAGATGTTTAGCTTAAGTGGTTTGGTCAACTTCCTATTAGATTTTTTATGTGCTTAATGTGTATCTCAATATAACAGAACTTTGTTAGGGTATTGGGGCTGAAGTTTCGGGTCCTCCAACAAGTAATCTTGTAATCAATGTTGAGAAGCTGGACACTTTTTCGCTTGCCAACAATAAGGAAAGGGGGACTACTTGCAAGAAAACACTCGACACTCGAGCTAGTGAGTGTTCAAGTAGATGGTAGTAGAACAGTAATAATGTCATTTTAAGTATTGTCTCTATGTTCCGTGTTCCTTGTTTTTCTCTTATGATCAGCAAGCATTCCATAATGGACATGGTAGTGGGGGTTATTATGTATGGCTTGGCCATCAAGTCTTAGCTATTTTGTTGAAAATTAGGAAGACGTGTTGCTTGATTGCTTACTTGCGGAGTAAATTTTGCTCCTACACAAGGGTGATGCAATTTGCTTTAGAAATCAAATGTCTCTGTTACATAAATCACTTTCTGTAATTTTTTTGATTAAGTAGGGGGGCAAAGCCCCAAGAAACAGACTACACAACCTGGTCTAAACAGACCAATCTAGAATGAACAATTCCAAGCAGATCATCAACAAGATAATCACTTAACCAACAAGGAGCCTGCTTAAACACGCACAGCCCAAGATTCACTTGATAACTCCAATTAGCCAACCGGTCAGCAACAATATTCTTCTCACGAAAAACATGCTGAAGGGCACACCTAGGAACCTGCTGCATAAGGTCACAACAGTTCCTAACCAAAGCAGAAGGATGCAAAGTAAGCATGGAAGAGTTCTGACAGAGATTGACTGCAATAGCTGAGTCCATCTCAATAATGAGACTACTGATGCCTTTCTCAATTGCTAACTTCAAACCAAAGAAGAGACCCCATATCTCAGCCTCAAGAACTTTGACCTTTTCCCAGATTAATAGCAAAACCACTTACCCAGCCACCAAAAAGGTCACGAATGACTCCCCCAGCACCAATGCAGCCAGTAACGCTTCTCCTTGAACCATCCACATTCAGTTTGAACTGTCTAGGCCCAGGAGGCTCCCAGGCAACATGAATTTGAACTTTATTTACCCTTACAGTGCGATTAGAAGTTGACTTAATCCACTGTTGAGCAGCCCCACAAATAACTTGTCTTGGACTAAAGAGGACTGTATCCTCATTATGAAAAACATGCTTATTTCTCCAACATCATAGATGCCAGCAAGTAAACACAAAAACAGTACTCCAAGGAACATCACCATTCCATTTCTCTCTAGAGAGCATGTTGACCTTCATCCAAGGCTGAGCATCTAAATGGAAAAAATGATGAGCATAGGTAGGGAGAATAGCATTCCACGTAGATTGAGCTCGCTCATAATCACGAAGAATGTGAAGGACAGTTTCAGTAGGCCAAGAACAAAAGCCACATGAAGGGTCAGACGCCAACTGCCTTCGAACACGCTGATCATTAGATAAAATTTTGCCTTAAGAAGCCAGCCACATAAAATATTGAAGCTTAGGAGGAACATTTAAACTCCACAAGGACTTCTAGCAGGAATCATGAGTAGAACAACCTTCAAAGAATAAATTATAAGCAAATTTAACAGAAAAGTTGCCATTAGCACTACCCTTCCAAATCTGAGTATCAGGTAAAGAGCCCAAAAACCCCACAGGAACACTAATGACCTGTTGAACAAGGTCTTCACAAAGAACACCTCTCAACTTATCAATATCCCACCAGCCATTCTTAGAGAAACTTGAAACAGAACAATTGCTATCATGGATGGCGAGAACTCCAGCCTGCTGCATTAAAGGGGCATCAGTAACCCAATTATCCTCCCAAAATTTTACACTGTCTCCCCGACCTATTCTCCAACACATCCCTTGCATAAGCAATTGAATACCATGTATAATACTCCTCCAAGTAGTGGAGCAAACCTTCCTTGCTCCAAGAGAATTATCAAAAATAGAAGCCCTTTTAAGATACTTAGCCTCATAAATTTTTGCCCATAAACCATTGTCCTTAGAATGCAATCTCCACCCAATCTTAGCAAGCAGAGCCTGATTCATACTAGCAGTCTTTTTAAACCCCAAACCTCCTTTACCTTTAGGCCTGCAAGCCAAATCCCATTGACAAAGATGGATCTTATATTTCTTCTCACTGCTGCCCCAGAAAAAATTACGGTTGAGCCGATCTAAATCATTACAGACACTAACAGGAAGTTTAGTAGTTTGCATAGCATAAACAGGGATAGAAGCTGTAACCGCTTGAATTAAAGTAGCTCTTCCAGCTAAAGATAGGAGCTTACTCTTCCAAGCTGCCAGATGTTTATGCACCTTATCAACTAAAGAACTATAAGTGCGCTTTCCGATTCTAGAATGCAAAAGAGGAATTCCTAGATACTTACCAAGGTCATTAGTAAGAGGAGAGCCACAAATCAAACTTATCTCCTTAGCAACCTCATTACAAGTGTTAGGAATCACTTTCTGTAATTTAACTTAACATCACTATGTTATTTGTGTTTGGACAACAAAATATCCCAAACTTGATCGTGTTTATTTGTTTGACTTTATCTTCTGATTAAAAACAGAGTAATTGATCATTCCAATATTTCGTGCGCATTGTTGCCAGTTGAGAAATTGAATGCATCATTCCAATATGCGTAGCTTCCTCCAAGCCTGTTCTCATGGCAATACTCAGAGCAGGCTACATCTAATAAGAGGCAGAATTATGTTGTGAAAATTCGTTTTGGCTATGATAACACTCTGATTTTTTATTATTAAAATTTTAAATATTTGATGTTGAAAGAAAATTACAAAAACACGCCGGTGGGGAGCCATACCGCTTAGGAACAACACCAAACGAAAGCCAAAGAATTATTTAGGGCTCCCTACTACTGATGTAGATTCAGAGATGGATCAAGGACGGTATGTCTTATCTGGTATTGGGAGAT